ATAGAGAATTCGCAATCGACCGTTACTGACCTAGATGGTGACCCAAACTAGTCAGACAATTGTAGAGAATTCGCAAATATGTCATATACACCAACATGCATTATAATGAGTTCCCAGCGAATGCGAATTCATTTCTTAGAAAATCAAATTCTCGGCGAATGTATATTGTGCAAGCTATAACAAACGTGATATACAGATAAAAAAATGAAAAGAAGGACATATACGTCGTATCTCCATGAAGCCTAGCTACAACGTTCGTACGTACTACATATAACCTGAATAAGAAAACAAAATAGAAAAGAAAAAAGAAAAGAAAATCGCTATTTGCAGCTCTATTGTATAACACACACATCTCCTCATTAAAAGAATTTTTCCTCTTCGCTTCGCTTTCGTTAGTTTTAATAGTTTAAAAGTGAAATGTTTGTAGCACATTTTCTTTCTCTCTCTTTCTACTCTACTCAGTTCAAATATGAACAGCTGAATCCATACCACGACGAATTCTGCTGCACACAAGGTTTGAAGAGCAAGATACTTTTTCTATACACAAAGAGAAAGAGAAAAGGAAAGTTGTGAGACTGTAGTCTACAGTAGTTCCAGAGAAGGCTATGAGAATAATACTCAATCACTTACATCAGTCATCTCCTTATTTACGAACTTTAAGAACACATTCAGATCAGACGTTTAATTCTATTATTATCTCTAATACTTTCTACACACAAGAGTAACATAATTAAACAAAATAAATCAGAGAACAAGAACAAAAGAAGAGATAGAGTTCTACTTTCACTGGTTCTACATTGTCACATCGTTTTCACTTGTTATCACTGTTGTGGTTCTGTTGTCGACTCATAAATGCTTTTTAGAAACGTTGAATATCGTAGTGCATCAGGAGCTAATGAACGTGTTTTTCTGTTAATAAATCCGGCGACAGAAATTGCCGATTCGCTGGACACTGATGACGGTTGTATGCATGAATATCGTTTCACCAATCTTGCTAAATTCGGTAATAATAGTTCATGTCGTTTCCAGAATGATTGAAGATCGGGTATATTCTTATGATTGACAATATAGACTGCAAGTTGTTCTTTAATATTGAAATCGCGTGGAGTTGAAGAAACGGTTGTTGTCGCCGTTGTAACACCCGCTCCACATATATTTAAAAAATGATCCAATACATTTAATGGTAATCTTGAATGTGATAATACTTGTGACTTTGTATTTGACATTATCGAAGTGGCTGATGCTGTTGTTGCTGCTGATGTGGACGACGTGGTTGTTGTTGAAATACATACAAGTGAACTGAAAAAAACGTAAAGTATCAGCTGCAGATTCGCAAGATAA